TCCACTATTTTAATACTCAATTATTGAACTTTCTCTTAATCATAACATACATTTTTATTTTATTATTATATGTGCGTGACAGCCATCACCAACAGGAAGAAGTGAACTCGTTAAAGCTGACTACTTGCAAGACAGCATAAAGTGAGTCTTTTTCCATTATAGCATAGTGCCCCAATCACACTCAAAAATTGATCCACTTTAACAACGCATTAGTTAGTTAAACCTTCATTTTCACTTAGTTTACTCGTTTTGACAAAGCCATAAAATTCGCTGTTCTATTAATCAAATATTACTGACTTTTTAAAAAATATGTTGACTCTCTGTGAGGTACAATAGTGTTAGGTTAATTTACTAATTTAATTTCTCCATGATTATAATTGACAAGATTTGTATACAATGTGTATGATATGACAGAAAACTATTTTTTTTTAGTTTATTCCAAAAAAATGTCACCTTCATTACTATAATAAGAAAAAAAATTAGTTTAAAATTTCTCTTTTACTTTTAATTGAAATGACTTGCAATAACACAAATATCTAATGACTGTTTTAGATAAAAAAATTCAATTTTTTTAAAAAAAATATTGTGTCAAGTCAAACTATACCACGAAAAATGGGATTGAGGGAGTATTTAATGTGGGTATATTCTCCTTCCTACAAACACAACTCTTCTTTAACTCCCTTTACCAATAAGTTAAAAAAAAAATTGGACGTTAGGAATGCTTGCATTAATTATATATAGATTATTTCTTATATATTGTTAGGTTTAGTATATTAAAAATAGTATTTATTGCATAAAAATACTTTTTACAATAATATCCTCCATAATTATGATGGAAAAGATATAAAAAAAAAATGTTTTGAGGGGCGATAAGATCTTTAACCATGCTAATGCATGCATTAAAATTCATTGCATTACTAATATCATGAGTTTTCATGTATTAGTAATATACAACTCAATACACAATAGATATACATAGGTTGAAAAAATGCACTAATTAAACAAGATACCACTAATATACAAAACTAATACATGCATTATTTTTTCTAATATACTCTACCAGACGACCGTAAAACTATTAGCATAGCTGGTTATGATCACGTTTAATTATTTCAGTTACCCAAAAGTGTTAATTGATGGCCCATATGGAGCACCAGCACAAGACTATAAGGAATATGAGGTGCTTTTGTTGGTAGGTTTAGGAATTGGAGCCACCCCTATGATAAGTATTGTTAAAGACATAGTGAACAACATGAAGGAAGAAGAGTATGATCATGATTTGGAGAAAAAATCAGTGTCAGGGAGTGGAAGATCAAACTTCAAGAGGGTATATTTTTATTGGGTTACTAGAGAACAAGGTTCATTTGATTGGTTCAAGGGTTTAATGAATGAGTTAGATGTAATGGATTGTGATGGAATAATCGAGATGCATAATTACTGTACAAGTGTTTATGAAGAAGGTGATGCTCGCTCTGCTCTCATCGCGATGCTTCAGTCTATCAATCATGCCAAAAATGGCGTAGACATTGTATCTGGAACAAGAGTTAAGACTCATTTTGCTAGACCTAATTGGAGAAATGTCTACAAACGCATTGCTCTTAATCACACTGATGCAAGAGTTGGTATGTACTTGAAACTTCGTATAATTTTATATATTTTTAAGAATTTCAACTATATATATGTATAGGCACAATAATTAAACACGCTTTTTAACTTGACATCAGCTGAATCTATGTCCTCCAACTTTGGGTGTGCACTAAAACTTATTTAAAGTTGAACAAGTAAACACATGAGTCTTACAAGACAGTCTGCTTCCTATATCGTGTCCTATGTGTATTATGTCTCGTAAGATGTGTGTGTCTACTTATTTAATTTTATATAAGTTTAACTATCTACTTATGCACACCCAAAATTGAAGAGCACATATACCAATTTATGCATTATGGACGAAAAACAATGATTCACACATGCATGTGCTAATATCAATTTTGGTGACATTTTCCACACTAAAGCTCCTTTCAAAAAAGGAATTGGCACTAAGGAGATCACTTTCAAGTGACACCTGCTCTTGTAAAATTTGCAGGAGTTTTCTACTGTGGGGCACCAGCATTGACGAAAGTTCTTGGACAACTGGCCTTAGATTTTTCCCACAAGACATCAACAAAGTTTGATTTCCATAAAGAAAATTTTTGACCAACCATGGACAAGCAAAGGATCAAACCAAACAGATAACAACGATTTTTTAAAAAAGAAGCATATATATCCACTACCTTTTTTGTATAGAAAATCTTGCAGATTTTGTTAATAGTTGGGTTTTGTATTGTTATACGAATAGCAATTATTTTTCTGTAGGTCCACCCACCACTGGATTGGATTACCAATTCAAATAATCCTTTTATTTCAATTTGTTCGTTTTGTCAAGGATAAATGTATGTTGATTTATCTTAAATGATACTTATATATTAATTATTAAATGTCCCCGGTGATATCCAATTCAAATACTGAATAATTTTGTGATAGTGTATTATACTTTATTATGAATTTTTACTTATTTTGTTTGTCTCAATTTATGTAATACTTTTTATTTTTCGAGAGTCAAATAGTTTAAGTTTGATCGAAAATTTGCGCATGGAATGTTTAAATTTTTTGAAATGAAATTTATATGTTTATAAATCACGTAAAAAGTATTATAAATCACAATAATTGACAATTTAAAATATTTAAAAGATATATGAAACAAATATTGTCAAAGATAGACTTATTTGAATCTTAAAATCCAAAAAATATCACATAAATAGAAACGAAATAAGTATTTAATAAGATTGTATAAAAATTTGGAGCATTTTTTTATTGATATGGTTTTCACAACTTCTAGAATTTTTATGTTTAGAGTGAAAAATATAATTTAAAAATTAAATTATATGTCAAAATAAAAATTCAATTCATCTTATATTATTTTATATCATAATTTTATATCACGTGATCAAACGGAGAGTAAGAATACACCAGCCGAAAAGAGAATTAAAATTTTAGAAATTTTAGCGAGCACCGCAAGAACAAACGTATGAATCCACACACATCAGTGAAAAGAACGGTCTCGTCCTCATGGCTAATTACGTGGCGAGCTGCTCAGGCGACTTTTGTCACTGCCTAACCACGTTGACACCATTGTTCTTTTCCATTATATATATATATTTCTACGTTAGATTATTTGGAATTTTTTTTTTGTGTGTTTACATTGTTAATTGCTACGTTCAATTGTCCCCAAAAAAAAATTTGCTACTCCAATTTGTTCATCATCATCATCCCCATTAGAATATTGGGTTTTACCTGCATTTTCTCACAAATATGGTACACTCTCTCTTCTCCCTTTTTTATCATCTCTTGCTTAATTCAAAATTGTGTTTCTGATGTTCCATTTTAAAAAAAATAGTGTTTACTTAAAATGGTACAGTACTTTTTACATCATTACCAATTTAACATGATAGTTTTGTTAACGCACTGATTACTACTGTATTATATGCAACTTGTTGTTTAATTTCCGCTGCAAGTTAGTTAGTTGTGCCTAGGGGTGGTAAAATCAAACTCAATCCGTCCGATTCGACCCAACTCATTTAGGTTTGGGTTGATTATTGATACGCACATTTGTTAGGTCAGTTCATTTTAACCCAATTCATTTAAACACATTAAAAATTGGATTGATATGTAACCCAAATTGATTTTTGAGAAATCTTGTCAATTTTATTATTTTTTTTAATTTTATTTATTATATATAGCAATAATAAAGAAAAATAATAATTTTAATAGGTACTAAAAACTTATAAAATAACAAATAAATCTATTAAAATTTAGTAAAAATTGAGCGGGTTGGGTTATGATTACTAACCCGTTACATTGTTAGGATTGAAAAATAATCAGCTGTAATACGGAAGCTAGCAAAGCAAACCTCGAAAGACCATAAGTAAGAACGACAAACGAGAAATATACCAAAAGACACAAAAATTTTTAACGTGGTTCGGTCAATCGACCTACGTCCATAAAGGAGATAAGCAATCCGCTATATAAATATAAATATGAGAGTACAAAATATAGAGAGAAATAACCTCAGCCTCTGAAAGCAAATTTGGGTCAAGTTGGGTCTTGACTCGTTTATTGTGTTGACTCATTTTGACCCGTCCAAATTTAATTCAACCCTCCCAATTGCCACCACCCTAGTTGTGCGTAGCTCACCAACTATGCGAGTTGTGTGAGGCTTCTTTTTTGTCTCATATGTTGGTAGACAAAAAAATTTTAAGCCTCCAGAGAACTAGTAACTTTTTTAGGTCTAGGCAAGTAGTGTTGGTCGTCACTGCAACAAATAAGAAATTTTGCAGTAATAATATAATTGTCATTATATTATTATCTTAAGTGATAATAATATATATGAGTATTTATAATTAGCACACTTTATAAATGGTATCAACTCAATTGCCACTAAATGTATTTGCGGCAAGGAAATTTTATTGCCACTAAATATCTGTTTTTATTGTAGTGTGTGTGAGGTGCAAAATATTTTTAGACAGTTAACATTTAACATAGGTTAGAAATTGTTGAATATAGTTTAGCACTTTAAGAACTGAAATATCAGACTAGAAGGTGAAGATTTTTAGGGTATGTTTGCTGTTTGGTATGAACGAATATGTTTTTCATGAAAATAGGTTTTTTTTTTTTTGGAAAATTAATGTTTGTTTGTTTTACTTATTTTTTGGTGTTTGGGGAGTAAGGTATAATGCAGCCAGACGCCATGATGTGATTGAAGCTGAAAATGTGATTAGTGACAAAACGGTTAATTCGTGTTTCATCTTTAATCATCAAGCTATGCCTTTCCTCAAAACTAACATTTGTAAAGCAGGGGAGAATTTATAGAATGTTCTACAAAATTTTACCACAGAGCACCCGGGTTTATTCCCGGGTCTTCACCTCAAGGTAGTACATTCGAATTCGTAATCCACGATAAAGATAGTAATCTTTGTTATTTGTTTGCTACTTTCTGTTTGATAATCTGTAGTCATTGCTCAGGACAGTGGGAAATTAGGTCCTAAAAACTGCGGTGAACATTTGGAACAAGCCAAAAATGAGTTTCCGGTATGTAAATGTGGATACGACATGTTGGATGCTGGCTTTTTCAATGACTGTAAGGTACTGTGACGGAGTTAAATTCAGTAAACAATTTGTTAGCTATGTTGCACGGATTATTCATTAATGTCGAGTGTTGTGTGTTGGATCCTCCAAAAGTAGCACATTTTTTTTGGAGGATCTGACATGAGTGCTCCCAACAGTTTTTGGAGAGCCCGAGCAAAATAGTTTGTTAGTACTCTTGCCCTTAATTGGAAAACTAAGGCCATTTTTGTGTCTGGTGCTGATTCTTTCTTTTCAGAAGCTTGAAATACAAAAGGGCGTAAAAGATTTTAACATTCCTATAATAAGATCGAACCGGAAGTTAGTTGCTACTGAGAATGGAGGTTTGCGTGACCCGTCTCCTTTAGTTTTCAATTCTGTGTGGAAATCCCAAGAAGCAAAGCGAGTAATGGACAAGTTCAATTACCCTGTATGCTCAGGCATTCAAAGGCCGAAAAATTATGAGGATATTGCTTTCATGAGTGTACGTGCACCCTAAATAGCTATGTTAACAGTAACCGTGTTGCACCAATGTTTCCTAGTTTAATTTTATTATTTGAAATTGCTTATCAGGTTCTTGAACTCGGGCAACTTCTCAAGGCAAAACTGATTACATCCGAGGAACTCACTCAAATTTTTCTGAACAGATTAAAAAGGTATGGTGAATGCTTTGCTTCCATTTATCTGATTTGTGTGCTATTGAATAATTTGATTCTGAAAATGATGTGTTGTGCCGGAGTGTTACAGGTACAGCCATGTCCTTGAATCTGTTATCACAATAACTGAAGAATTAGCATTTCAACAAGCAAAAGAGGCTGATCAAGTGCTTGCAAAAGACAAATATTTGGGTATACGTCCACTTCCTCTCTTCCCCTTAGTCCTCGTTCGTGTCTCTCTTCTCCACATTTTAGTTTTTGGATGTCATGAGAAAAATCTTTTAACATTTGTTCTTATGGAGTGAGGTGTTTGAAAAGAGAATATTGAAATTTCAATTCAAAGGACCGCAGATGATTCTGTTCTTTATAGGTCCTCTTCATGGGATACCGTATGGTCTAAAGGACATTATTGCAGTACCAGACTATCCCACAACGTGGGGTTCCAAATCTTTCAAAGATCAAGTTATTGATGGTGAAGCTTGGGTTTATAAGAGGTACTTACAAATTAATAAATGTTGAGGCCACATCCCGAAGCCAGCCTATATTGTACATGTGTTTGTATAATAATTTGTAGATACGGTTGATGCAGGCTGAAATCTGCTGGTGCAGTTCTTGTTGCAAAATTAGTCTCTGGTTCTTTAGGTTATGACGATATCTGGTTCGGTGGTAGAACAAGAAACCCCTGGAATATCGAAGAATTTTCTACTGGTTCATCAGCAGGGCCAGCTTCCAGCACCTCAGCAGGTATGTTGAGTTAGCTTTCTCCGTCCCAATTTAAGTGCCTTAGTACCTACATCTGTTTCGTTATCTGCACGGGTGAAAGAATGGATTTTTACCAACCTTTAGCCATTTACTGATCCAAATGAATGGAATCTAACAGATATTGCATACTATGCCCAGTCCTGAAATTGGTTCTATAGATATGACCAGAAACGAGAAAAATAAATGCAGTATCTAAATGGTGATACGGAAGATGAGTCAACCATAACTTCGTGTTTTTTTTCCTAATAGAATACCCTGAGAAGAGATAGAATGGGCGGTACCGAATAAGATTAGTAAGGCAGAGTATATTGTTCTACAATGGTGTCTTCACATTGCAGGTCTAGTTCCATTTGCAATTGGTTCAGAAACTGTTGGGTCTATTACCTACCCAGCTACTAGGTGTGGTGTTACTGCATTGCGGCCCACTTTTGGAGCTGTTGGTCGTACTGGAGTTATGAGCATATCGGAAAGCTTGGTATCATATCTCTTCCACAAAATTTGATTCCTTTCGTATGTGTTTTATCTTTTACTGTAGAGGTTGCTGACACTGAATCTGGCTGGTCATTAGGATAAACTAGGCCCTCTCTGCAGGAGTGCTGCAGATTGTGCGGTTGTTCTCGATGCCATCCGGGGAAAGGATCCAGATGATCTTTCATCCAGGGACATCATGTTAGGTGATCCATTTTCAGTTGACATTACAAAACTCACTGTTGGGTATCTTGAAGACGCTGACAAGGAAGTAAGTGATTGTTCTACATTACCAGAAATTCGCTATGCAAATTAGATTCTTTATCCTCTTTGAAAGCCCGAACTAACGAGACTGTTTAATTATGTCAATTACAGGTTGTTGGTGTACTTAAATCAAAGGGAGTGAATGTGGTTCCATTTAATCTGGATTACACTGTTGATAGTGCTCAAGGTATTGTTAGCTTCACTATGGATGTTGACATGCTAGCTCATTTTGACGAGTGGCAGCGCTCGAACCAGGATGATGAATTTGAAGCTCAAGACCAATGGCCTCTTGAACTTCGTCGTGCCCGCGTAATATCTGCTGTAGACTATATTCAGGTATATGTCACAATCTAGAAAATATCCTCTCTAGATGTTAAAAAAACATTGCCTTGGATAGAGCCTTATCCACTTTACCAATCAACTATTTAGTATAGTGTTAAAGAAGGAAGCTGTACTTCACAGGCACAGAGAGGTCGAAGCAAATTGATTCAGGAAGTGAAAGAGAACTTCACAGTTGATGCATTTATTGGAGGTTCGGGTGACTGGGAGAAAATTTGTGTGGGCAATCTTGTGGGTATGCCAGTAGTGGTGATTCCAACAGGTTTTAAGACGATATCCAATGCACCGTCTGATGATACTCGCAGGAAGACAACAATAACTACTGGCATTTATGCTCCTCCTGACCATGATCATGTTGTAAGGCTCTAATCCTCTTATCTTGTGTGTTTGGGATATTGGAAAATTTAGAATCCTAGAGTCTAGCTTGGTCAGAATGAATTTAATTTTCTCATATGTATATATGTGAACGCGCACACATGGTTCGAGTGGAAAGTAACGAGTTCAGCTCAGAACCTGAATCCGTCCTTGTTGCAAGACTAATGACCTTTGTCTAAGTGTAGTAGTAGTGACTTTCTAGAATTCTAGCAAAAGCTTCATGTATTCAGAGTTTTGGTGCTGCTAAGGAACCCACCCTTATATTGATTTTGTGTGTTCCTTCTATGCGCAGGCTTTAGCATTGGCAATAGCGTATCAGTCAGTGACCAACCATCATAAGCAGCGCCCTCCAATTGACGACATTGGACCAAATGATTCAATTCCAAACCCACCCACTTCCGCTGTACCCGCAAGACAACTACGTGATTACTAATCTCTCAAGGGTGTTCAATGTCACTCTGTGTTGTCCTTTTAACTTGTTATTATAGATGTATACCACTAGTTGTAGTAGTTAAAGCTGTGTTGAATCATCTTCGCTTAGTGACAAAAGGAAGAAAATACTTCTCTCTCTTTTTGTTTATGCTAAAGGAGACCACCATTCGGGGGCTTCTTTTTTGGTATATTCTTTCATTCTTTCAAAAGTTGATAGTTTGGCTATATACCTCTCGCAAATAGTTTGTGCTAGCCAGGAGATATTAGATCTTGTTTGGTAACGCAAATTTCAATTTCACGACCGGGTTGACGTTTTAAATCGAAGAAAGGATCAAGAATAGTTGTTGTATGGTACTACTATTGATAAACAAAAGGCATCCAGGAGCAGCCTATATAAGCAACTTTATCATGACTTTTTGTTCAAGAACTATGGAAGAATACCTAACTTATATGGATCTGTCCAAATCTACATTGTCATACATTTTTCTTGTTAAAGAGGAAAAATCTCAAAAATTGGCGAAATGTTTGCTCGCCTGGCCATTAGGCAAGAAGGGATAAGAAAATAAAACAGTAACAAAGGAAAACAAAACAAGAGCATAACACCTAACTCAAGTAGCTAAGTCCTTCTAGCAGGCACAAGTTTCTGTTTCAGAATCTCTAATTTTCACGCCTAGTCCTCCTACGAGGAGCAGCGGCGTCCTCATTCTGGTCTTCTTTCTTCTCCGTGGCTCCTTCCTTGTTTGAACTTGATGCCTCGGCACCATCACTTCTCTTAGCCTTTCCAGTAGCTTTTGCCTGCACAAGCAAGAAGTGGTTATTTTAACAAACATACATACCCAACAGACATGAAACAAGTTTCATTCGTTTCCTATTTCTTTGTGTGTGTCTGGTTTAGGGGGTTGAGGCTGAGTTCAGACTTACGGGTTGCTGCTGTGTCCCACCAAAGATGAGCTTCAAGAAAACTGTGAAAATGATAATTATGATTGAAATGACAGCACCAACTGTGAGATTGGGCTGTTTCTCAGCCTTCTCAAGAATATCCTACAAGACAAGTCTATGTATTAGTCACACATACAAAAATGAAACAACATGCAACGTCAGAACACCAGGTCATTCACTCACCAATACTTTGGACTTGTGTTCGCCCAAGAAGGGAATGTCAGCCACCTTGTAGAGGAGATCAAGTACCATTTTCTGCCAAGTGTTCCAAATATATCTCAGATCAAGTGATGGAATGAAAAGAAAAATCAAGAACAATGGGATGTATCTTGAAGAAAGTGTAAACAATTACCTGGAATCCTTTGAGCCCACCAGTGCTTGCTGCTTCCTCAGCCTTTTGTTTCTCTTTCTCTATGTCAAACTTGGGCTTCCATGCAGTCATCCTGTATGATTCTGCAACTTTCTCATCACTTGCTATCATGATATTGTCAAATAATATACCATCTTGCATTGTCCAAATTTCAATGCCAATTGCTGCAATAGGCTCGAAATTTTAAAATATATACTTTAGGTGATTTATGCAACCTAATTGGATTGTTTTTATGAGTAGTGTCTTTGCCAACTAAACATATTCAAAAAATAATAATTTTCCAATGTTAGATTATTTTTCTGATGTTGGATTAAATTAATCTAAAAATGTGAAAACTTATATAAACTATTTGTTCCAATAATAATAATAATAATTAGGGGTGTTCACGGGTTGGTTTGGATCGGCTATTGGTCAAAACCAAAACCAAACCAACTTGATCGGTTTTAAAATTATCAAAACCAAACCAAACCAAATACAATATACATTTATCGGTTTGGTTATTATCGGTTTCGGTTTGGTTTGGTTCGGATATTCGGTTATTAACCATACACAAAAATAAAAGAAACAATTCATTTAAAATGTGAAAAAAGTGACAACAATCCATTCAAAACGAAAAATAGTTAGAATGACTTAAATTACTGAACTTTCGA